CTTACTTACTTATTTTAATTATGCACCACTTAACACAGAGCTTTATTGGCAACAAGCCAGTAAACTCAAAAAGGAACCAATGACCCCTTCAAATCCCACTTTCATTCCACCAACTGGCTACAGTGTATTAATAAGAGTCAGAATTATGGACATCATAGAAAATCAAAAAAAATTCAAATACACATCTCTGAACTCTGCAAATAAGCCAACTGTTATCACATCATTCCCCATAAGTTAAGATAATACCCAAAATAATTTAAGTTTTATCCACTAAGAGATTTGGCAAACTGCATGGGAGACCAGTAAATCTGTTCTGCATTCACCATACACAAGCAACCTTAACTTACAGACAAAGTACTAGGAGAAGACACGTGACTATACCATTGTGCATGAACACACCTTTTGGCCAGGATTACCCCTGGTACCCTTTGGGCCTTTCCTTCCAGCAAATCCTCGATCACCTTTTGGCCCAGGTTGACCTTTGGGTCCTCCTACTCCTCTTTCACCCTAAACAACAACAACCACACACACAAAAGAAACAGTATCAAAATACAATAATCATATAATTTACAATTTAATTGTGGTATCCACAGGAAATAATAATATTTGTTTCTTTTGTTCATCCCCAGATTTCATTTCATACTAAACACCTCAAAAGACCTTGGCTAGGACTATTGCCTTGACTATCCACACTAAATGATTGCTAAAGACAGCAAATGAGCAGAATTCATTCTTTTAAATTCATTTTTCTGCAAAATCAATTGATATAAAATTCTGCCTACATTTTTTTCTAAAAAGAGAGTCAATAGATTAATCATTTTATAAAATCTTGGTATAATTATGTACAGCACACCATGACACACCCATAACAACAAACAGTGTTGTATTGTGATTCCATGAACTTTTACCCAACATTGAATAAGAGAGGGAGCCTTTTTAGTGATTTAGAGTGTGTTAGAAATGGGATTGTCATTCTACAAATAAATAGACCTCTTCAAACATGATGTGTCAACTAATTTTGACACTTATTGAAGGTGCTATAAAAAGCAACACATAAACTTTTGACCTTGTCAGCTGATGAAGACAAGTGGCATAGCAGTGGAAACATTGTGATCAATTAATAATCAACCTGGCTCTTAAATCATGAGACAAATTATAAAACATTCATTTATCATTAGTTAATATCTAATTAATTTTGTTCCAGTAGTATATAAAATGGAATCAAACCATGACTGAAATTTACAATGTGTTACTAACCGGGGCTCCTGGTGTACCAGGCGGACCTGTTAATCCTGGTGGGCCTGTTGTTCCCTGAAGAAAGTACAGATATCAAAAAAATGCAACCTACATTGTCAAACTGCATCACACATTAGAGATCTCTTACTGGAAGTTTAAATAAAGTGTGTAATTAAAGAGGTATGGTGGCCCAACAGAATGCATGCTAAACTTTGAGTTGAAAGGTTTGAAATCCAACCCCAGCTGGGTCTTTATTTTGAGTTCATGGGCAAGACACTTTACTCTTAAACAGGCCTGAAACAGGCCAAAAATGCTGGGTGTTAAAGTGAGATGGACCTATCCAAGGGAAGTAGTAATATGTGTACTCCTGGTCACTTCTGATGCTTTGGAACCCACCATAAGCTTTAGCAATAGAGCCTTTTAGCCTCAGTGCCAAGTTTACCATGTAGAAACTCAGCACTAATAGGAAAGTTGACAAGTAGATAAAAAGGGATTCCCAGCAAAGTACTAATATTTTTTACTGTTTAACATGAAACCATACAGTTAATGAAACTTGTAAATGTATTCCGCTATTGGTAAATGCATGTGCAGCACTTGAGTTGAGTTGCACCTTTTAATCTCTGTATACTGATAAAGATAAGACATCCACAGAAAAATAAAATTAATAGCCAAGAGTTAGTACTTACATTCATCCCATCACGACCTGATATACCAATTGAACCAGGAGGTCCTGGGTTTCCCTGAAATACAAAATTCCTTGTTAAGATCCCACAACAAAGTTTTGATAAACTTTCCTGGAATAGATTCAAAACTGCAGAATGGCTTTAAAACATCATTACTATGCATATTGGTTAAGGTTAACTAAGTTTAATTACTTGTTTATGGTTCAATAAATGTTGCTTAACCTTTAGACATATCATTATTGTTTGCATCTCTCTAAACTCTATTTTCATGTAAGTATTGATAAATGAACAACAACTTGAAAAGGCAGATTGGATTCTTCTTTCCACAAATAACTTACCTCTAATCCTCGAATTCCCGGAGGGCCAGGTGAACCAATTTCTCCAGGGAGACCCTAGGATTAAAAACGAAACCTGCATTAATAACAAGGCCAATGATGAGGTTGTGATAAAGGAACAGACAAAAAGCAGCAACTTTTAGTTACATGGATTAAGTTGCTCCCTGCCTTAAAAATGTCTTCAAGAAGCAATAAATAACATTATCAACGTATATTTGGTTTTCCCCCTTGATGAGGGTTTAAAAAACAAAAAAACAAAAAATCTAAACTAAAATATAACTACATTTAAGTCAAATAAAACTCTAATGCAAGCTAACCTGATTCATGTCAAGCATTTTAACAAAAAAATATAAAATATAATTAATAAGTAAATACATACTGGTGGGCCGTCTCTTCCAGGAGGTCCTTTCTCTCCCATTCTTCCCTATAGGACACAAGCGAACATCATCATATGATCAGTTACTCATTGGAAAAAAGGATCCCTTAAGCCTAGTTAGTAGTCAGAGTATCCAATCATAAGATCACAACTGGTTGAGGCTTTAATGTCATGAGGGTATCATGTTTTTTTTATGATTTCAGCAATTTTTAAGCCAGACAGGTGTCACTTGTGAACCTAAAATGGCACTCAATTCATCCAAAGTTTCCTTTTGGCTCAGTGAGCTAAGCGAGTGATAATAAAAAGTTCTAAATTGACTAAGGTTTGAATACGCTTGAGAAGTTTGTTTTCTCTTGTCCCCTGTTATTACTTATGACCAATGTTTGACATCTTCTTGTACTGCAAACAGTCATGGCTAACTTAATTCATGTGATGTTTCGTTACTTAGCTTACCGGTATTCCAGGAATACCAATTACAGTGATCACAGGGTTACCAGGAGGTCCAGGGGGTCCAGGAGGTCCTCGAGACCCTGGAGGACCAGCAGGCCCAGGAGGTCCCTATCAAAGAACGCAAGAGTGGTCAGAGTTCCTGTGGCATCAATCAGAGCTTTGATCAATTACTATCTTTGAATTCAGAATTGAAACTTTTGTGTTCAGGGCTTTAAATAGACTGAGTAAGATGCTCTTGAAGCATTAACTCCAGTTTTTGAGGATTTGTTATTCAATAAATAAGCGATTTTTAATGAGAGGTGTAATAACTTAGTTATTACTTAGTTAGTTAGCTAGCAGTTTTGTAGGGGAGGGTCTGAACAAGCTACAAACTCACAATAAGTATGAAAAACAAACAAAAATATAAAGAAAGATTTTATTCATCTTGTCACCAGCATAGGACAAAAACAAAAACAAAAATATGTTTGTTAGACAAGTGCAGTTCACACCGACATTTACAATCCTGTGTCAAATTATAGTGCTGTTATAAAAGGAATAGCATAAAAAAATTTTTAAGCTTTTGCCTTTTTTCATCTTGATGCCTCTCAACATTTCAAATGAGTTTTATAGCAGATAGACCAAGGCAAAGCTGCATGCAAATGTGATATGCTGACACAAATTGATCTCACATAAGTCACTTAAGTTGCACAAGACAAACATTAATTTTTGTTGGCATATGTGGGTAAACAAAACCCAAAAAAAAACACTTAAAGAAAGCCAGTGTATCAGCAAAAAATTTCTAGCTTACCATCCCTCTTATTCAATTTATAAAGTAGCCTTTTATTGCCAGATCCTTATCCAATGAGAAATTTGTTACACATAAGGAGGAATTTTCCTTACTGAATACCCAATTGCAGCAAAATAGCCTTTTGTTGCCATATCCTTAACATAACAATAATATAGACAACAGAATTGATAAAATACCCAAAACTTGAGAAACTTTGTCGGTAGCTTCATGAAAAAAAATGCCAGTGATTGTAAAGCTAACAAATACAAGACATTGGTAGATCTAAACCAATTACAACCCAACCAGGTACAGATATTTCTTTGTTACCTACCTCAGTACCATCATCTCCAGCTTCTCCAGTATCACCCCTTGGTCCGGGGGGACCTTGATCACCCTAGAATCAAAGTTTAATCTTGTTTTTTCTTTACTTACAGCTAAAAAGCAACTTTCAATAAACCCTATAACTTCCAGAAGTGATTTACATGTAACTTCTCCCTTGAATATCCATACATAATCTTGCTCACAGGTCATGAGAATTAATACTCAAACTTGTCAGGTGTAAGTTGTTATCTTGATCTAACACCATATCCTCATGACTAATTTACAAGGAAACATTGAGCAACCCAAGGGGAGAATTAACAATCAGATCTTGGGAGTAGAAGGGTTAACTTAATTTGTAATTTAAAAGTAATATTTGCCTTCTCTCTGCTCACTTTCTGAGAAACTTCTGGGTAAGTGCACAAAGTATACTTCTTCATTCATAATAGTTTCAGTTGTAACTGAGACAAGTTTTTGTATTGTAGTTCATTCAAGTGAATAAGTATAAGATAAATAACAAAATAGATACTTTGGATGATTAAAAATTAATATACAGCCATTCAGCTTTGCAAATTGAGTCCTTCACCAAACTGCCTCTTGGCAACACATGTAAAGTGTTACAGGTTTTTTTTCAAGCAGGACATGAAATTTGCATTGTTAATTTTGCATTTTAACCACGAGGATAGGGATGCAAAGTTGGCAAGATCGCATGCTTAAGGTTAAGCTTTCAGGGTGAAGTGTATTTCTGATGTTACTGATTTCAAAATTTGTAACACTATAGTTTACATTCTCAGTGACGAAGCACTGATTAACTTCATAATCAAATTGATACTTACCCCTCTTCCTTTGCTTCCTTTTTCACCTGGTTGACCTTTTAATGACTGTTAACAAAAAGGATAAAAACAACTGTTTTGTTATTCGCAAGGAAAAATAGGTTCATCTTCGTTGTATCTGTTACGCTTCTGAGAGTGCAGAACAAAGAAAACAGTTAAGTCAATACAATGACCCTATTAAAATAACTACCACCAAACAGAGAAAAACTTCATAGCTCCCAAAATTATGATCAACGTGCCAATGATGATTTCACGTTATCAAAGTTTAAAACAGATAACGTATAAATTGTTAGGATTGAAAAAGAAATGACAACTTTAGAATTTCTTAACCCTACCGTACTTAACTCTTAGACCCGTTCATATCCGCTGTAAACAAAATTATCCACATGCATGTGCAGTTTGTGTGTAATATCAGTTGTATGCAACCACATGCGACACGTTTGTTTTGGTGACCGGGTAATTTGGGAACAAGTGTTTGGAGTACGTGACATTTGTTATCACGCACGATATCTGCTGTCACGCATTTGGACAATCAATGCAAAGACAACTCGTCCATGCTCAGAAACTTAATATTCAGGAAATAATTCTGTCCACATCAAAGTTTAATGCAGATCGTAAGTGTAAACGATGAATAATTCACTTCTTACCTCGTCTATTTCAGTTGGAACTAAAACGAAGAAAAGAAATTGAAAGTAAGCAATAAATGAACGGGTACGACCATTTACAACTAAGTCTTTAAAAAAACCATGAAGGAGCACAACATTTTTAATAACAGAACAACTGCTACGGCGTTTTGTAATCTACTACGTGCAAATAAACTCAAGGTTTGTAGTCAGCCACACGGCCGCCATGTTACTATTTGTAAGCCTCGCCATGATGTGGGGTCAACTATGACGTACCTTTAGGACCCTTATCAATTGACAAATAACTACAGATAAAATAGGAAGTCTTTTTCATAATTTAAGATTCGGAATAACAATTCCTTCTCACTCAGACAACATGAACTCATTCTCAAAGCAATGACCTTGAAATATTCTGCTTCACTCATCAAATCATTAAGACAATAACATGTTGAGTTTTAAATAAAACAGCAACTGTTTCATTGAGGTATTGGGGTCACAAAAATGGTAAATCTTTCTCCATTTAAGTAATCTATCAAATGCTTTGAACTGGGTTTTCTCGACCCCGTTGTATGTAAATATGCACATAAGCTCGTTATATGTATATAAACATAAGATGAGTAGAAATTCTAGCCCTCCATCCAGAAATAATTCCATTTTAGTAGGAATTTTGACTCGATTATTTTGAACTTTGTAGGCTATATCTATTCCCTATTGTAAACGAGAACTTTTATTCCAGCACACTCGTCTATTTTTAACTTATTCGTGAAGAACGCGCCGCGTGCGATTTACGGAGCAAGCCGCGGAGGTTTAATATATGGTTTAAGCATCTATTTATCAGAGATTTCAAATAATTAAGGTAACGTCAACTGATAATGGGAGTTTGTAAAAGAAGGGCTCTATGGTTAGAGGCTTTCCACTGTTTTTTTTTTTTTTGTTCCACGCGAGAACAATATATTACAAAATAAAGCCATTTGAGATATGTTGAATGGCCGATTGTCCTCAGTCGCTGGTATGTAAAATCGTAACACTATACCACAAAAATTGCGCTTTTCGGGTTCACCATACCGATCTAAGAAAACGAATGCTTTAACTTCACAAATATTAAGAAAATAAGATCAAATTCACTGCCAGGGCGAAGAATTACATACAACAGATAACGTCCTCCCGCTGAAAAAAGGTAGAGGCGCCGGAGTTTTATCCTGCGCAAGATATCAAGACGCAAAGGGATATCACACAACACCTCGATTGATCCGAATGCATTCACATGAAAATTCCACTTCATAAAACGAACTGTAAAATATTTGGGTCAATGAGGAAACTGTTTTAACTTTTCCTCTACAATATGATCGATTGTACAGGCACGATTGCGGCACAAAATCTCATAACGAAGAAAAAAATCTGAAATTCACAATGCCCGCATACAACTGAATACAATAAAGCTTTCATCCTGATCATGGTCGGTCCGATGAAATGGCGAAGCAAAGATCCGAAGAAAAGACACAATGATTCGCATAGGGGAGAGATGAATGCTTTCCAAATGTCTACTGAAAAAGAAGCTAATTGAATTGCAAATTAAGCGTCGAATCGAGGGGGAAATGCCCGCTCGCGAAGCTCATTCGTTACCGAAGGAAGGAAAGTTGAGCACAAAACCCTTAGAAGTCTAAAAATGATACTTACTGTCCTGCCCCTGCGTACTGCAAATCCATAAGACAAAGAAAAGAGAAACTACAAATCTAGAGGTATAGAACCCCATCTTTTCAACCCAAGTAGCCTAACAGGGCTGAAGCATGAAGGTTCAATGAACAGCCCCTAGTCTTGTGCGTGCGAGACAGTAAGGTAATGCGGGACTACCTTTCCATCTAAGGTATCACACCCCAGCCACAGCGATCAATAAAGTTTTGTATTGTGTTGCTGTGAAATAGCATGCTTGTCGTCTGAAAGTGACAGACACCCACAGTGTCAAATGACACTACGTAACGCAACGCTCTAAGGGTTGCTTATTTCCCGGTTTTTCTCACCAAAAATAAGCACAGCAAAAGGAAAAAGCCTGTTTAGAGCAAGACTGAATGTTTCTTACCGCTCGCATGAGCTGAATACTGCAATATTTGAAACATACGAGGTGTTAAATTTGATACACTATCACTAAGGATTTTGATCCTGAATGTGGTAAGACAAAAAGCTTTTATGCGAAATGTGATCAAGGGTCATGTGATTCGCCAATCGGGTTTCTCCTCGCTCTGCTGCAGAATGATAAAATGATCATTCACAACAGCCAACCACTCACAGGACCCTACAGTGGAGCTACATTCCCCAGAGAGAGATAAGGTTGTTTGCTCCTCGAGCAGCAGTTTCTTCTAATTACGAACGACGGGTGTGGGAAAACAAATACTCACAGGATACAAGCCTGGAGATTGACCCACCGCCAGAACCCTGTAGCGGTGTAAAATCCACCGAACTGAAGATAGGTTCCTTGCGAGATAAAACACATTAAATTGGCAATTGTAGTCTGAGATCTGGCGTGACATTAAAGAAGCTTCTTGGGAGTTTTATTTTAAATCTTTTTAGTAACAAAAAGAGTTGTTGTAAGTTGCGTGATGCCAGAAGGTCCCGTTGCTCTTCAAATTTATATGGGTCGCCGCAGATACATACACATCGTTGTTCACTTTCACTGGGACTGCAATTTTCTTATTTACAAATAAAGTTTGTTCTTTTCCTTAACTGTAACTTGTTCCGTTTTTCGCTGCTATTCCAGAGGACTTCGTTGCTGCTTGGAGTAGAAGCACGGGCTCATTATTCGAGCAGTGGCTCCTTCTCTAGCCCAGATCATCAATTCATTTCTTACATTATCCATCTTGTCTAGATCTTTCGTTAATTTCATAGTTTTCGTTTCTCTCATGCTCCTTAACCCTTTAACTCCCATGAATGACCAAGACAGAATTTCTCCTTAAGTGTCGAGAATAAAGGAAAATATCAATTTGAGGATAATTAGTTGATCCAATATTAAATTCTCTGAACTAACATTATAAGAAATGTATGGTTGATAGTAAGGAGAATTTTAAATCTGATCTGGGAGTTAAAGGGTTAATAAATTTTTCTTGCTATTCCCTTTTTTCCCCCACAGTCTAGGGTATAACTCGAGACAGTACAGTAACCGTCAGACTGTTTTTGGTCTAGGGACTTGTCATAGTAAAATTATGTATCCTGCATTTAAGAGGATGAAACTTGTACCCAACTCATCTGAGTACTCTGAGGTGTAGGGTATTCTTTTAAAAAGCCACACAAACTCTTAATCATATTTTAGGTTTGCGGAACAGCTGTCTCGAATTTCTGTGATCTCCCTGGTGTTTAAACAAAGAAAAAGTTCTTTATTGCATTATTATTAGAAGACACTTCAAAAAAATGCAGCAGCTTACTTTATTACTGACTCAGAATAGAATACAATTTTTCTCAAGTTGCTTAAAAATGTTACAAGTTGTTTTTTATGGGACACTTATGACTTTCAACTGTTGTAAACCAGAACTGAAAAAATTACAGATACAATTACGAATTAGACTCAGGCCTATGGAATCAATTTAGTTCAAGAAGTGCAACTCTTAGTTGTTAGTACATGTTGATATAAATCTTCTTGACTTGGATATCTGAAAAAAAAAGATTGGAAAAAATTGTGTCAAAGCTTGTAAAAAAAAAAAAAAAAAACCAAAACAAACAAACAAACAAAGCAATGGTGGAAAAAATGCACACAAAGCAAGCATTAGGATTTTTTGTGTTCCATCAAATTCAAAGAATATGCAGTAAGACATTTCAAGCTCAGATTAGCTCTTAAACTCTCCCAGGTGATTGACAGTTGACTGTAATGTCCAGGTAATGAGAATACTCAAACCTATCAGGTAGATATTGTCATCTTGATCTAACAACAAATTCTTGCTACTAATTTACAATGAGATGCATGGTAGTTAGGGGGGAGAAGTAGCAATCAGATCAGAGTTTAAGGGTTAGCCTTAAATGAGCATTGTGATTCTAAGTTTACTTGACCTAAATAGTGAACTACAGAGCAACCATTGAGTTCTGAAACACCTTTTTGAACATTTATGTGAACACTGGTTTTCCTTATTGATAATAACTTGGTTCAGGTAAACAAACATGAAAAACTGATCATTCTTGGACCAAACGACTATTCAATACTGTGCAATATTTTGAGAGTGTGCCAAGTCCAAGATATTTGTAGCAGTTTTAGTTATAGATTTATATTTCACTTGATTCTAATTACTGATGCATACATCTAAACCCTGTGCACAAGCTAAAACTGAAGCCATCTTTAACCTTTCGCATTCCTCAAGAAGCCCAGATTAAAACTTAACAAACAGGCACATTATCAGTATACTTACCATAATTATTTCACTACTGCACAATGATGTTATTGATGGGGATGTGTATGAGTTTAACAAAGAAGCCAATGAATCCCATAATGGCAAAACCAATAGCAGTTGCCAGTGCAATTTTTTGGAATTCTGGAAAATATAACCACAAACAAAAACATTAATTAAACCCTTTACATCCTAACATAAGTGAGCATATTCTCAATACTGTTCTTTATACATTGCCTAAGGTGTTGACAAGGAGAATTTCTTTAACAATCGCAAGTTTCTTCAGTTGGTGATCATTTCTTTTATTGTCATGGCCTTAAAGTGTGATTCAGTGGTGATATGTAAGGAGACATTAGATGCTAGCTAATCTTAGGGGTCAAATGTTTAAATTATGTGATGAAGAAATGAACTGTTCAGAATTATCAGAATTTGAAAAGCCTTAATAAAAACATAAAAAAAATAGCTAGTGAATATTTTGAAAAAATACATGCACTTTGTATAATGAGTACCCTTCATAAAGAAAGGCTTTTTCACTGTGAATTTCTGGAATTTTAAGTAAATGTATGTGGCAGAAGCAGGTTTACTGTGAAACAAATTGTACAATTTTTGCCAAGTATATTTCACTTTAAAGTTAATGCACACTGTACATTTTACCTGAATATGGAAAACATTGTGGTAATAACACTGAAAATCTTAAATTAATGATAACTGCCATGAGAAAAAGCAGTGTTGAAGCAGAGCTTTCCTTGAAAAGTTATTTGTGAAATTTGATTTACAGTGTGATTTTGCAAAATATGCTGCCAATATATTTCTGTAACTGAAGTTTGCTTGTTACATCGAAAGGTATAAATCTACTTTGTAATTAAGACTGAAGACTAGCATCCATAATTTAATTTCAGCAGTTGCCTGGAGCAAGGTTACAACAACTAAAAAACAATAGTTTTACTGGTGGTACCTAAGCCAAAGGTTAAAATAGATAAAAAATGAGAAACATGGTTGAAAACAAAGGTTTCTGTTTTGTCAAGATTTTACATTACTGGCATCCATTGCCTTTGCCAGCATCTTTGTGGACCTCCCTGACCACTTAGGTCATACAAATGAAAATTTGACCCTAATTTTCACCCAGATAAGTCTCCTTTTTGTAAAAAGAAACATTATTCAATTCTTAATAAGAAACCCTGGAGTCCTAAGTTTTTAAAGTTGTCTATTAACCCTTTATAAAACAGGAAATATAGAAATTTGCACATTCCTTGTTTGTGCTATGATATCTTCTTGACTGTTAAGCTTACAAGAATCTGATTTAAATGTTGATATTCCTGCTTTTCGTTAAGATTTCTTGTTATTCAAATCATGTATTGGACTTTGGCGAAGAGTTTACAATTAACATCTTTTCAAACTGAAAGGTTCTTTGTAGTCAAAAGTGACGAGGCCACAAAAGACACACATTGTTTTGAAGCAGAAAGACTTTAAAAGCAAGCAAATCGAACAAGAACGATGTTTAATCGAGAACTAAGCGCTAGATGTCCAAATAATACAAAATGTGTTTTCCAAATTGAAGATTTTTGTACCAGTCCAAAAATATCTTCCAAGTCAGACGATTACATGCCAACTGAAAGTAGTTTGATGCGCTACGAACTTGATCACATCAGGGACTCAGAAGAGGAGGTATGTAATAGAGACGACTGTGCTTCAACAAAAGAAGTAGTAAACGAATTCTCAAAGCAAAAAGATAAAAAGAAACCTACGAGTTGAGAGAAAAAATTAAAACAGTATATATGCACGCTGTTTACAAAATTTACATTTTCCTTGATATCTAGAAAGGAAGCGACCAAAAAACTTGTTACGAACACGCGTAATGAAATGGCCAAAAATTTTAACAGCATAAACAGAGTAATACCAAAAAACAATGAACAAGAATAAAAACAAAACCTTTTCTGTCTGGTTTCGTGCATCTTTTCACAAGTCTCATGGAGTCTTTGGCGAACTGTTTGCATGGTTCGAGAGCGTTGGTAATTTGATCCATTCTTCAGAGTCAGTTGCTTTCGAGTAAAGAAATGAAGGATTAGCATGGCATTACTTACGTTTTCAGTCCGCTTTGCGAAGAAAACACGGGGGAAATCAAAGCGATTCTTACCTGAAAACCTTTACACAGTGAATAAAACGATGTCGTGTCACCAGAAGAGGAAGAAGAGTATTTACGCAAGGAATTATGGGTTCTAGGTGTTTGCCCGCTGTCCGGCTAGCAGGCTCAACTTTAAAAGTTCCTCCTTTTCAGTCCGTCTTCTGCAGAGTTTCGTCAGTCGAGGATCTTTCGTATTCTCTACTAAATAAAGACTGAATTGGGTTATTTCGCTCACTTCTGAGTGTGACTGACTAAGTTATAAGATGTTGATATATACGTATGAGTGAGTCGAGTCTCTGTATTATGGCTGAATTGGATGCGGGTGAAATAAAATATTCGCCGGTTACCTCGAAGCTACTTTGAGCATTTTTTTCAGTAATTTTTTTTAGAGATACATATAGAAC